GCCCCAAAAATCTGCAGGATTTGTATCCAGCAGCCTCAAGGACTAAACTCAGCTGTTTTGATGACAGTTGACACCTCTTTTTTTCCCATTACTTTTGTGAGAGTAAATAAGAGCAGGACTATAATATCAGAATCACGAGGTGACACTGCTGGAGCAGCTGCTCAAGCTGTGACAGGAAAGGATGCTGCTGAAAACTTTCCCCACTGGTTCCTTCTTGCATAAATACCAGGACCTGACTGACTTCAGGCAGCTCTCTGACCTGCTCCAACTTAATTCCCATTCTGCAACAGCCTCTCTGACATCTCACAGGGCTGCAGGGTCTCTTCTTCATAGGTCAAACCTGCCTGAGCTCACTGGGGTTTGGAAGAATCAGCATCAGAACTGGGTTTTGCAGCTCTGATATAACTAATAAAGGTTTTGCTTCAGTTCAAGAGCTGGGCTCTGGGTGTGGTGAGAATGGTGAAGTGTCCAGGAACTCAACCTTTACCACCTGACAAGGCCTGTTTGGGAAGGACATTAATGGCCCTCGTGTGGGAATTGCAAAAGGCCTGAAATGTTTCACTATTGTTTTATCTAGGAGGGTTTGGTTCCTTTGGTTTGTGCAAACACCAGAGGCATTTGCCCAAGGGGTAACCAGCACTTCCTCCCCTTTTGTTAGTGCTCCTGCCCCGGGGGAAACCTCGGCTTCTGAAATTCCTCCTCCATAAATTTGTTTCTCACCGAGCTCTGGAGGGAAAGCCCCTCCTCCCAGCTGCCTGCAGGAAGGTTGTCCAGCAGCAGATGATTTCAGGAACCTCTCTTCCTGAGTAACACTTTCCATTGCTCCCAGTTGGTTGGCAAAACAAGAGCTCTGGTGTTTCCAGCAGTGAACGGACCTGTCAGAGCAGCCTGGGGGTTCCCTGTCCATGGGGAACTGAGCAGCCCCTCTGCCCTTGGAACCACCTCTGTGTCCCTTTGGATCCCCCTCTCCCTTTGGGAGACATCCCAGAGTGCCGAGGTTCCCTTCCCAGCAGTGTCTGTGATCATTCCATTGACAGCACATTAGAGGAGGTTCCCAACACATGGGAAGGGTCTGGAACTGGGGGGGGGCAAAGCCTAGAAACGGGGTGACTGGTTTAAAACTAACCCAACAACCCAAAATGAATCTATTTCTGCAGGGGGAAAATATTTAGGGTTCAAAGGGTTCAAAAATATTTTAAGGTTCAAAGCCCTGCATTGAAAATCACCCTCATGAGCTCAAACTCCAAGACTTCAAGGCCTAAAGTTTGTATCCGGTTATAGATTCCTAGATACAAGTGTCAAGTTGAGTGGGGTTTTTTTGTTGTTTTGGTGGGTTTTTGATTGTAATTTTAACCAAATATCTGTAATTTTAGAGATTTAAATGGTAGCTTCAGTGCAAAACCAAAAAGCTACTGTGCTCCAAAGATTGATGCCCCCAAACCACCTCTTCTTCAGTTTACGACAAAACCTGATCAATCCTTCCTGGTAGTACCAGACCCTGGGAAGAAAGAGGAGCAGGGTTCTCATGGGATATCCATGCCCAACATGTGAGATTCTGTAGGGTCTAGGTTTCACCAAATCTCTCCCTTTGTCAAGACACAAATTTTGGGCTCAAATCCAGTATTGTAGCCCAAGTCTAATCCAACTGTTCTTTACCCAGCTACGCTTTAACTTATATTATATAAAAATAAACTTACGAAAAAACCTGTCAGTCATCATCCTTGCACATGCAGCTAAACCCCAGAAAAATCTCTCTTTACAGAAATAGAGCTTTATCCCTCCAAAAAAAAAATAGTTGACTTTTCACCACAGTTATTTTCCCCCTAATTTTTTATATTTCATGTCGTTCCATCAAGTAGTTTGATGCAGTTAAGCTTTTCCCTTTGGCCTTTTCTTTCACCTCTTCCTCGTCCCCTCTTTTTTCACTCATTCCTTTCTTTCTGTCCTTTTCCATGAGATGGAAGATGATGAAGAGAGATGATGGAGAGAGGAGGGGGGGAACTGCAAACCCACCCAAACACCGAGTTTCGTTGTGCTGGCCTGAAGATAAACGAATCCAGACTTTTTCTTTCCCTTGTTCATCCTTGCTGGGACCTGGGGGAGCCATGGTGGGGGATGAGCTCAGAGCTTTGCAGAATTATCTCAGCAGTGGGTACAATCAGAGGTGGGTCCCAGCCAGGGCTCCGGATATGAGCAGTTTCCAGCCCTGCAGGGGAGGTCGGATTTCGACACCGGGGCTTGTTCCTCGCTGTCGGGACTGGAACTGGGAGCCAAAAACCCCTGAGCTTCAGGAGGTTCAAACCCCAAGGGCTCACATCTCCGGTCAGACTGCTGGGATGAGCCACCAGCACTCCTGGGAGACACAACACTCCACGGGCTTTGGGAGGAATAAAACCCCCTGCAGGAGTCACCAAAGGCCCTTGGACAGCCCTTTGCTGGCTCTCAGAGGATGGAGGGGAAGCCTCTTTGTACACATTCCCTCAGTCCCCACCCCAGGGAGCAGCAGTTTGGCCTCACATCTGAATTAAGGTCGAGAGAGACAGCACAGAGACATCACAGAGACTTGTGCTGTTCTTTCTGGGTCTCAGGAGCTGGGGACAAACCCAACTCACAGCTCAAGAGCTGGGCAGCACCACAGCCCCTGTCAGGGCTTAAACTCCACAGCTGAACTTCCCCCAGCTCAGCTCAGCTCAGCTCAGCCCAAGGCAAACGGGAGAGTTGCTCAATTCTTGGCGTTCCACCAAAAATCAGCCCAGAGGAGGAAAAAAAAATCTTAAACCAAGAGGAAAAACAGCCCTTGCCTCCCAGCAGCGGCTGGGATCAGTATGTTCAGTTCCACTGGAATTGGTGGATGTTTTACTCCGACGTGGAACAAAGGATGAAAAGATTTAGCCGAGAAATAATTCAGTGGTTTCCCCCCTTTCTCCCCTGCTGTTTCCTCTCCATCCAAACACGTTCTCATCGTGCTTTCCATGAACACTCAGGAGATTATCAGTGAAAGTCATTCAGTGTGAGCAGCAGCAGAGGGTGTTCTGAGGGCTCATTTTGCACTTAAACAATCACACTGAAAAATCAGATACTGAGATTGCTACTCTGACAAAGGAGGAACAAAAACATCTTCGGTGTCTTATGGACTCATTAAAAACTAGCCCAGGCAGTTGGAGTATTGCATTTTCACCCAGATTGACTCATAAGTGATTAGAATGAGATTAACAGGGGGAAAAAAAAAAATAATTAAAACATCACTGGAACTGTTCCCACTGCAAAGTGGGGCTGAGTCAGAAGCAATTATTTTCATCTGGGAAGTGGGAAATGTCATTTTGTAAAACTCACTTTACCCTTGGCTGGAAAATGGCCAGCTTTGCTTTGCTTGGGGTTTAGTCACATATCCTTAAAATTTTTGGAAATTTTTTATTGTCATACCTATCCATTTCACTGGATAGCACAGAAACCCCACAAACCACTTCCTGGTTCGGGACAAGAAAGTGATTTTTCCCCTTGTTTCTTCTTACGTGTAAATCTATCAAAATTCTTCAGGAATTTACACAAATCCATTGGGTACAAAAAGCAAAAAAACCACCAAACCCACACCCACTATCATTGTATGGAATATGTCTGGGTTGAGTGAAAGGCTAAATACTGAAATTCCCAAATACTTCTCTGAAATTTATCTTGAAAAATTAATAAAATCACAGACTGGTTTGGGCTGGAAGGGACCTTAAAGCTCATCCTATTCCAGCCTCTGCCATGGGTAGGGACACCTCCCATCCCATAGACCAGGTTGCTCCAAGCCTTGCCCAGCCTGGCTTTGAGAAGAGATTCCCTGTATTCCACTTTGAACCCAGAAAATTTAAAACACCTGTGATGCCTTCCCTGACAATCAGCTTTTTGTTTCTAGAACGTTCTGCACCTAAAATTCGATTTAATCGATTATTCAGGTTTATAAGTCAACAGAGTAGAGATTCTTGCACAGGGTTTTTTTTTGTAATCTGATGGTGAAACTCATCATTAGACAAATTATTTCCAGTAAATTGCTCTCTTCACCCTCCCTGAGTGCTGTGGCATTTCAGACTTGTGCAAACATTTTATTTTGAGATAAGAGTGCTGATGCCACTATCCAAGAACAATAGAGGATGATTATGGATCTCAGAGACCATCTAATCTAATTCCTGTATAAACAGGCCATGGGCCTTTTTTAAATGAAATGCCATTTCGAGGCCAATAGATACGGTTGAACTGAAGCACAGGCTCTGGGAAGAGAAGGGGAAAAAAAGAGATGCACGGATAAAAATGTGCAAACAACACACTCGAGGCAGGTGCCAAAATCCTGCCCCGCCACCTCTGACTGTCAAGAGCCTGTGGAAAGAAAAAAATGTCCAAAGGCAACCACATTTTGATGCATTTTAATGGCAGAGGAAAGACTTTGCAGCTCCCAGCTGGCAAGGGGGAAATGTTTTACCCCATTTTCCATCTCACACAGGAAAAAGGAGCGTAAGAGGCATCAAACACCTGGGATTTTCCTTGTAAATGAGTGTTGCTGTGGTGAGGCTGGGTTAGGTTTAGGTGCAAACCTGTGGATGCTCTTAAAGCAGCAGCTGCCTTTTCCAAAGTGGATTATTGTGTGTTGAGCACACGGGGAGTGCAGCGTGGCCCACCCTGGCTTGGTTGAAGGCAGCTGGAGTTTCACCACAGGTAATCCCATCCCAGAGCACTTCCAAACACCTCTGAGCAAGGAACTGGGGAGAAAAGAAAACCCTTTCTCCCCACTCAGCTCTTCTTGGATGAGGCACTGGAGATCTCTGTGTGTAATCCCTGCCACCACCCCAAAAAAGGGATATTCGGAAATCAGCTTCACATTGTCACAAAGGGACATTAATTGGGTCTGATGAACTCTCCTTTTTGCAGGTTTTGTTAGAATAGAAAAAAACAAGCCCCCAAAAAAGTCCCTGTCTGACACTCTAAAGTGAGAATCTTTGAGAGAGAAACAACAACCACAACGGTTTGATTTATATATTTAATTTTTAATTAAAAAATAAAGGTTATCTTAATACATCTCTTGCAGCCTTTGGGCAAAATGCACCCTTACCAAGACTTTATGAAACATGATGCACATCTATTCTTGGCACACATCTTAAACAAACACCAACTTTTTGCAGCAACTTCTGAAATCCATCATCCTCCCCAAACCCTGAAAACATTGAAAAGTTCATTTTAAAAAAAAAAAAACCTACAAAAATTAGTAGTGGGCCCAAAGCAAAAACCCCAGATCGAAGCATCCCAAAGCTTTTGGAGCAGACTCAAATCCAAACCCTCATCTCATTCCAAGATTAATCCTGGATCACTGCAAATTCATAGACACGGCACCCAAACAACCCAGAGAGATGCAATTGGAATCCTGGCCCGGGAAAGGATCTCCCTTTGGAAGCTTTGAGCTTTCCAAAGCAAACCTGGGGGGGTCTGAGCCCCTTCCTGGAGTTGTTGTAAGTGGGGCCCATCCCTGACAGAAATAAGTGCTGTTACAGAGGAAATGGTGCTGCTGGAGCTCCCATTCCCTGCCTGTCCCTGCTCCCACACCAGGCCAAGCTCTCTGTCCTTTTGCTCAACTCCAGGGTGAGGATAAAGCCAAGAGAACACCCTGAGCCCTCCAGCCCAGCCACACCACACACCTCTGCCTCCCACCCTCCCCTGGACCTCTGCAGGAGCTGGCTTGGGGTTCCACATGTGCTTTCCCTGGATTCACATTCAGGCCCCCGTCCCAAAGCTCCCTCAGCAGAGGGACAGGTTGGCACCATTCCCAAGGGATGTCTCTGTTCCACCTGGCCCACCATGGCTGATTCCCAAAGGCACAAAGTGACCAATCTTTAGACTTCTGCACAAGGTCTACATATATATATATATTTATATATATATGTACACACACACCATTACATACATATTTAAATATATATATACATATATATATATATTTGGTTTTGGTTTTTCTCTTTTTATCTCTTTTTTTGCTTTTCTTTTCCCCTCCCTTCTTTCCCTTTTAGCTTAGTGGTGTAGTTTCCTCTGAGGAGGGCTCTGCTATATGTTCTGGAGGCTTCTCTGTCTCCAACGAGGCTTCTTCTGGCTTCTCCTCTGTCAGTTTGGGCTCCTCAGGGGTTGAGATCCCTCCAGCTCCTGACTCTGGGCCTGGCTGTTCATTTTCTCCTCTGCTTCAATCTCCTCCGAGGTGGGAATGGAGTTTTTCTTGGGGCGGCCCTTGGGCTTCGTTGGTGCTTCCTGGCCCCCCTTCAGCACCTGGAGCAAAGAGATGAACCATCAGGGTCAACCTGAGCTCCATCCTGTTCCTGTGTCCAATTCCCTCTCCCTTCACACCATCACTGCAGCAGCAAGGCACTCCCAGCCAAGGGTCTGTATCCAAGCTAATCCCAAATTGGCTGGAAGTGGCAGTAACTGTCCCACTACATTCCAAGGAACAGCCTAGAACTGCATGTCCCCTCCCAGACCAGAATTCACAAACACCTCCACTGGAGAACGTCACAGCATCGTGGTGCCCAACCAGCATTTAGTGCAGGGTTCTCCTTTCTAAAAAGGTTTTAACTGGGAAAGGGCCACGAAGCTGAGAATGAGTGGAAGAGGAGAAAGGAAGAGGTGAAGGGCAGGAATTTACGATATCAGCTCTCCAAACTGCACTGTTTTCTACAGAGCAACACGATCTTTTTTGTCCGTGCACAGAACCAATCCCACATCACAGGAGTGCCAAAAACGCAGATATTTTGGTTCTTCCCTCTGTTCTACTCTCATTTCTTTCACCCCTTTGCTTCGCATCCTTCCTCCTGCCTGTGGTCCCCCCTTGCCCACCACACATGCTGCAGTACGAGCACGTTAAAAAAAGAGACCATCTCCGGGAAAAACCACCAAGAATAAAACCAAACTTGGTATAAATAGACTCAAGCTACTGACACGATGCTCAGCTTTCAAATCTGTTCTTTTGCAAGCAGTTTTTAAGGACCATGGGGAACATGGCAAGGAACCACTCACCATTTTCTTCCACTTCATCCTACGGTTCTGGTACCACGTCTTCACCTGGAGCTGAGTCAGCCCCAAGGACTGGGCTAAGTCGAGCCTAGGAGACAAAACAGACACTGAAATGAGTTTACAGAGGACAAGAAGAGCTCAGATGCCAGGTGCAGTCAATCCAGCACTGTAAGAGCATTCAACAGTGTCCCTCTGATGTGTCGTTTTGAGAACAGTCCCACAAAAGCAGCAAATACCCTGAATTTAGGATCGAAAGACAGAGGCTCCTATGGAAGAAACTCCATTATTTAGGTGTTTTCAGACTCTCTGTTCCCTTTTCTCCTCCTAGAAGTCACAGGGTTTCCCTGCCCTCTTGGAAACACAAACCTGCTGCTCTCCAGCTGCTGACACTCCACGTTTGCCCATGGATTAGGGACATCACATCCCCAAAAAACAGGCCTCTGGTGTTTGAAGCCAACACGTAGGAGCAGACACCAGCACCAGTCTGCCTTTGAAAGTGCTACTCTCTGTATCACGTTTCTTCTTCGCTGCCTACATCAATCATAATCCCTTCCCATTTCTGATGGAGCAGGAGCACACCTAAATCAACCCATTTCATCAGCACTCTGCCATCGTAGGCAATTTGGGCTTACAAGGGAATTTATTATTTGCGTGTTTTGCTCCAGGGTCTGAGCGGCAGACAGCCCGTAATCCTCACTCATCCTCCACAAATCTCCAACCCAGGCAAGTTCATGTTGAAGCCACTCATTATTTCTGTATTAAACCCTGGGATATGAGGCAAATGCGGCTCAGGGAACTCCTGATCCTTCCCCACAGGTGACAGCACATGAATGGGGCAGTTTTGTAATGGAATTGCACAAGGGATGGGCTTGGGAATCCTCAGCAGTGCTGGGAAAGTGCCCCACAGAGTCAGGGGGACAGCTCCAACTCAGAGCCACATTCCAAAGTGTTCTGGATTCTGGGACTTCTTGGCAAGTATCTCCTTGCCTTTGGATGGGGGAGCACATTTGTCAAGGCTGAGTTTTTCACAATAAAACTCCTGTTTCAGTTGGGCTCCTGGGGTAACCAGACTTGTATTTGCAAGCACTCACACCCCCCACACCACCTCCCTGGGCTCCAACTCACTCTCATGGATTCCTGCTTCTCTCCCACTTTGGAATCACTCTGCACCTGCAGGTTTGTTGTGCCACCACAGAATGTCTGTACCCCACTGATTTAAGATGCCCCTGCTGTTCTTTAAGAGTAGAACCTGGCAGTCACTGCCCTGTCACACCACACTCCCTCACCACCAATAAACCAGGTGCCCTCCCAGGGGTACAACCTTCTCCCCAGGCCAAAAGCTGCAGGAGTGACCACGGATCACAATCCACTGCTTTGCCACCACGTTTCCAGCCATGAGCTGGCAGAGAGCAGCACAGCTTGGCCAGCTCCTGGTGACTTAGTGCACATGTCCTGTAACTCTTTGACTGCCTGCAAGCAGGGTGCCACCTCTTGCCACACATCCCTGTCACCAGCACTGCCTGGAAATCCAAGGAAACAAACACAGGGGACGTGGAACACGGACAGGAATTGCTCACCAGCCCCAAACATGTACAAAGCCAAGGAACAGTCACATGATAATGTTGATTAACAGCCTCGAGGGCTTCAGCAAGTGTCAACCACCTTGTGATGTGAAGCTGTGAGGAGCCAGTGCATTGGGAACTCTGCTCTGAGACAGGGTGGCCATGGCCAGGAAATCTGGCCTTGCTGAGACCCTTGGCTTTGGTGACAGGGAGCAGAGAATGCCATCTTCAGTTTAAATTTAAATCCAGGGCAGGGGTACCTTTCAAACCCTCTCTGGGTTTACAGACTTCATAGGAATTGGATGGGTGTGTTTCCTGTTCCTTCTCTAGGCTTACAAACCTTGTAGAAACTGGATGGGTCTTTTCCCTATAATTTAAATTGGAAGAGTAGAATTGAAAGCCTTCAAAAAAAGCTAAAGCCTCCCTTAGTTTGGTTTGCCCATGTGGTACCAAGCAGTCCCTAAGAACTCACCTTTTCCTTCAAATGACAAGGAACTTGCCTATGCCTTTGCAGGCAGAAGTCAGCAAAGAAAAAAAAACCCTGGCTCTGTTTTCCAAGCTGATGGACAGGACACACCACCTTACCACTGAATTGCTGCCCTAGGTGCTGGATGGAGCCAGATCAGCAGCCAGCTGGAGAGCCAACCCCTCAGGTGTTAAGGAAACACACACCTGCTCCAGGCACACAAACCACCACCATGTGGTGTTTCCACTGGAGTGCTCTGCTCCTGTCACCTTTGATCCCAGCACAAGTCAGCCTTGAAGCTCAGTCTGGCCACCCAGCAGCCAGTCTGTAACGTGCAGCTGCCGGGGGTCTGAGCTGGTCCAGGAGGCTCCTGACTGCAGGGGGCTGAATTTCTGCCAGCTCCATCCCCAGGAGGATGCTGTGAGTGTTCCTCAGCCCTGCCCACCCAGGGCTGGCAGTGGGCAGTGCTTTGGTGTGGATCTCAAGCCCCAGCAGAGTTCAGGCTACAAGTTTAGCTGAGTGCTGGGCACCTTTGGATGATTTGGGGAAATTTGCATCATGAAAGGTGAGACAGGGAGGATTGAGGTTGTTCTAGTTCAATCTTCATGAAAAACTCATCAACTCCAAAGTTTAGTTTTGCTTTGGTGCCAGCACAGTGTGCTCTGAGCTGCCAGAGCTGCAGGAGTGTTTGGGCAACGCTGTGAGCACAGGGTGGGATTGTTGGGGTGTCTGTGCAGGACCAGGAGTTGGGCTGATGATCTCTGTGGGTCCCTCCCAGCACAGGAGATTCTATGATTTTGTGGTCTGCCCACGGCCTTGGCCAGTGGAGAGACCTCTCTGTGGAGCCAGAAGGCAGCAGGGGGTGTTCAGCGTGGGGACAGCTGAGCAGGGCTGGAGCAGCCCTTCTGCTCCTCCCTGATCCTGCTGGGGAGCCACTGACCTACCTGTCGGGGGTAGAGAGATACTTCTGCTTCTGGAATTTCTTCTCCAGGCCCATGAGCTGGATCTCGGTGAAGATGGTCCTACTGCGGCGCGGCTTCTTTATCCTGGGCGTGGGCTGCTCTGCCTCCGACTCGCTGCTGCCCTGGGCCTCGCTGGGCACAGGCTCTGAGCCCCCAGGGGAGGGCTGGGCTGGCAGCACCCTGGAGCTGGTGGCAGCTGGGAGCAGGTGGGGCACCACGGAGGGCTGCCTGGTGATGACGGAGATGAGGGGATACGCCCGCAGAGAGGGGGAGCCTGGCAGGGAGGGAGGCAGAGGGGGAGAGAGGTCAGCTCGGGATCATGGAGTCCAACCCTCAGCCCTGCACGGGACCATCCCCAAGTGACCACAAGCAGCTCAGTTCCCTTCTCTGGCCTGTTCCTTCCCACGTGGATGAGTTCCTGTGTCACCTGCTCTGGCTCACCCTTGCCTGGGCAGGGGGCTTGGACTGGGTGATCTCCAGAGGTCCCTTCCAACCTCACCTGCTCTGTGATTCTCCCAAGCTGCACAGCTTTCCTTGGGCTGGGGGTCTTACCAGGTCACCCAGGGAAGGAAGGATTGCCCTTCCACTGGCTGGTTTTTCTCTTTGTAGGGGCTGTATTAACACATCCCACTGAAGTCATGCCTAATCACCACAAGAGATCAAACTTCAAGCAAATGTTGAAATCTGTCCCCATTCAGTTCCCAACTTTGCTTTCCTGTGGACACCAGGACAGGGTTCACTTGAGACAGTCACCTCATCTCCCCTTCCAGCCAAGAGACAACACAGTTCAAGTCACAGCCCATTCCCTGCATCACAGGAATGCAGCCTCCATTGTCCACACTGACCCCACTGACCATATAGGAAGATGAGAATAAATAGATCCCAAAAGTTCTTCACTGACTCTTAACTCCACAGCTTACACCAGCCAGTTGATACCAGCCCCATAAACAAACCAGTTCTGCTCCAATCCTTTCAGGTCAGGGCCGTTCTGGGATGACAAATCCAAACATTCCCAAGCACCAGAGGAAGTTCTGATTCACAGCAGGCCTTCTGATTTACAGCTGTAGCTGATTCCTGCTCAGCCTTAGCCCCAGGAAATCAAATGTTCCCTTAAAATCTGGGCAGGGAAATCGGGCCACGTACGGGAAACAAACACTCACTGTCAGATCACGACTTTGCAAGCAACCTGCAGAGTCTTGGGCAAGCCACTTTCTTGCACTCATTTGCCAGGTGGAAATGATCCTCCTCACCTACTCCACTGGTGGTAAAACATGGATTAAAGTTTAATGTACATAAAGTATTCGGAGATCTGTAGATAAACGGTGCTGTGGAAAGGAACATGTTACACCAGCAGGCCTGATTGGGAAACCCTCACCATGAATCACCAGTCATGAAAATAATGATCTGCAGACCTCATGAGTCTGTTGTGGTGAGTAACTCCTCGCTGTGGAACAGAGGAGTTGCCAGCCTGGCCTGCTGGTGACCTGTATTCCTTACTCTCCTCCCTGAGTAAAGGGCTGTGATCCCAGAAACCAGGTCCCAGGAAAGCTGTGGTGCTCAGGGGGCATCAAAGAATCCCACAGAGTGTTGATCATTGCTGCTCTCCACAACCATGGCAAGCTGTGCAAAATCCAGCCACTCACAAAGCAAGTTTGGGAAACTGTTGCCAAAGCTCTGTGAATCCCAAAGGATTGGGATGTGAGCACAACCATGACTATGGGGTTTAGACAGACTGCAAGTTAAATCATCCTTTCTCCTCCACATCTCTGCAGTGCCAAAACTCAAAATGTTTCCACTGAATTGAAAGTCTCCCATTAAACCACTAAGGAAGTACTTGAGAGATGAGATCAGAATTGCCCAGCCAACCTTTAGCTTGTGTAAATCTTTACCTGCCTTTTCCTCCTGTGGAACTGTGCTGATCTACAGCATCACTGAGGGACCTGGCAGGAACTCTGCCTTGATTTACAACCTCTGGGGCTGTTCAGAGACCCTTCCTTTACTCCATGAAGGAGTGGATCCAGCCTTACTACACTCCCTTATCCTGCTCTTATGGGGTCCTGGTTCAAACCTGCCCATCACAGAGTTCCTGTTCCTCTACAGGTTCATCCTCCAAGCCTTATCCTACAGCCTGTCCCATTCCTGTCCTTGCTCATGGGTGGCTTTTGGCACTGGTTAATTGATACTTTCACCCAGGTATTTCCAGCAGAGCTCTGCATAAAACACAAAATTACCAAGGAGTAATAAATCACCAGAGCTCAGAAAGCCCTGTAAGGCTCCAAGTGACTGAAAACCCTGGACAAAAGGATTTTTACAAGGAACTTTCTTCAAGGGAGGTCAGCAAAAGCTATTTGACATCAGAGCTACCAGGGATATTTGCTTTCCTGCAAGCAGTGGCAGCAGCACATGGGACTGCTTGGAGAGAGGGGAGGATAGTTACAGTAGTCCCAGAGCTTATGCTCTGCCTTCACCAAAGAGAAAAGTCTCTTCAGACTGTTTCTCTGATAACCAGTAGGATGAGGATGAAAAGAACTGCCTTCCTCCTTGCCCAGTCAGCAGCAAGGACTTTGCAGGGTACAACATGCTCTGTTATCAGAGCAGTAGATGACACTGGGCTTGCTCAGGTCCGTGTTTTCAAGAGCTGAGCACCTGAATGAGGGGATTCACTTTCCCAAACGTTCAGCAGCAGCAGCTGTGCCCTGGCCCAAGGCTCAGAAAGGCTCAGCACAGGCTTATTTTTGGTGCCCACGTCAGGGCACAAATTTATTTGCAGCCCTCCCGAAACCGCCGCGCGACTCGGGCGCGAGTCGTGGCTCGTAACTGCTGAGCTGCTTCGAGCTCCAGGTGGGGAGCAGATCTGGGAGGCTGCTGACACCGAGTGTCATGTATTTGTTTATCATCTGTGCCCCTAAGAGAAGCCTTTGCCTACAGCCTGACACCAAGAGTTGTGACAGTGCTCTTAGAAACCATCGTAAATAATGAAGTCACCTGCTGAGGCTCAGCCCAGCTTAGCCAAGCTCAGCGTTCTGCCCTCAGCCTGAGGAGGGCACAGCCTGCTTGGGGCATGGGGTAAGGATGGCATCTAGAGAAAGATGGGGGTTCAAGGCTGCAGATGTTTTGGGGAGGGGAAAGCTCCAGGTCAGAAAGGGGGCAATGCTTTAGCAGCCAACTCTCCTTGCAGAGAGAGCAAACCAGAGCTACCTGACCCCTGCTTTGCACAGGCCAGCTTTTAGATCCCAAAGTTCAATGTCCTGCTCTAGATCAAGTTATCCCCCAGTTCAGAGGCCACTGAAGTTGAGCCAGCCCGTTGTCTCCATGAACATGACTGCCCTTAAACCATCCATGCAGTTCTCACCCTGATAAAGCCTCGGCTGCCAAACGCTGCCAGATCTGAGGCTGGATCTAAACTGCACATCCCCCAGAGTTCAAAGGTATTTCCAGACTGACATGGCATTGTAAGAATGGAATAATTCCCTAATCTTCAACAAATTAAATGCTGGCAAGGAGCTCTTGTCTGCTCGGCACTGTTGGGACATGCTCTGTCTCCCAGGGTGGGATGAATGGAAGTGAAGGGTTCTTTCCTTTCCATCCCTGCCTTTCCCAGCAGTTCCAGCTGTTGTTGTTTCAATGTTGTCTGAGCACCTTTTCCAAGCCTGCCCCACTGGCCTTTTGCACATGAAAACCAAAAAGCTTCCCAACAAAAGCCAGAAAATGAGGGATTTTGCTACCCAAGAAAGACACTGCCTGTGGGTTATTGTTTGCATCAAAAACAATCAAGAGACCCCCAGTACAATGGAATTTTTCCTGGAGTTCTTTCTCAAGGATTTGAATAGTCTCAGTTCCAAGCAGCAAGAAAGCTCTTGAACATTCCATAAAGTCAACAACTGGCCACTCTGCTGCTTGAACCAACCAAGAGCTAAAAACGAGAAGGACATTGGACCTGCAGAGTGTTTTCTACCCTCTGAAAACATTTTGCTTTGCTACTTAAATTTATCTGTGTTGGCAGCCCCTGGACAGTGAATAGTAGATGTACACCAAGCACTGACACACCACCTTGAAACAAACTGACTCACTCAAACCACACGGGTCTGGCAGAACCCTGGACTCTGTTTCCTCATTATATGAAAAAGATTTCTCCTGTAAGAATATTGGGATTTAATGTATCCAAAGATTACTTTTTTTTTCTCGCTTGTTTTGCTGTTCAGCAGCAACACCAGGCAGGTGTTAGACCAGATGACCAACCTGAAGCCATCTCCAATCACCTGCTTTCTTTAAATTTCTTCTGAACTAGATACGACACAGCATGTGTATCGCCACCACTACACCAATCACCTTGCAGAAGTTTTAACTAAAAACAAATGCTTCAAACAAATCTTCTCCCCTTCTTTTCCCCTCCCTCCTCCTCCTCCTCCTCCTCCTGGCTTAATTTCAACCCCAGCAGACACAGACTAAAGGGAAGGGAAAAGGGAAAGCACTAATTAGTTGCACTGTTTGACTGCCGGCGATGGCAGAACAGTTTTCCTCCCAGGCAAACTCGGCTAATGCTGCTTTGGAAAGAAAGAAAGCAAAAGGAAGGAAAGATTTATGGATCAGCTCCTCTTGGCAGGTCAGCCCTGCTCGGAGGCAGAATGAAATCTCCGTCAGAATGGGCTGCGCTGAAAGGTAAATAATAAAAGAAAATGAACTTACGACTCAGGAAGGTCTATAAATCCATCATCTCCTGAGTGTCAAAACAAAAGGAAACCAAGAAGGAGTTGAGTTCACTTAGCAAAGAGCTGCATTTTGCTGAAGGAGCAGGCAGCCTCCTGACAGGGAGGAGCAAGCCCTGAGTGAAGCAAAGAAAGCAAAGGAAGCAGGGACGTGTTGAGAATTGGTTGAACCACGCACAGTTTCTTTAGTGGGGAGGGTGTTACATCTCCTTTTTCCTCCACAGATCCCCCAAAGCTTGGATTATAGCACCAGAGCTGAGCAGGGAGCTGGGACAGTCCAGAAACAACCCTCAGATACTCTTTTGCACTTCCTACACCTCTTTGAATGTTGGAATAGCTGGAAAACCTGCAGGAGATCCTCAGAGCCTTTACAGGTGCCAATTTCTCAACTACTATAATCAGATTTTTTCTGTGATTATTACATATTAAATAGGAATCTTGCAACTGGGAGTGCTTGAAAATGGTCTTTATTGCCATTCCTCTTCTCCAGCACTCAGAACTCAGTCCCTGAGAGTTAACCCTGTTTTGGGAAAGAAGAATTGTCTTTGGGTTTGTTTCTTTTCCTTCT